AATAATCGCGGATTCGAAGTTTATTTTTTGAACACTTCTATATAAGCATTTTTAATGGCATCTAAACATAGTTTGTTTTCCCAATTATATTACTAATCACTCGCGGTTAGTGACAACATAAAAGTCGAATGTGTTTTACATAAGTGAATAATAATTCTTTTATGATTTTGATTACATATTTTACATTCTATTTAGACCCGGAGTTGTACATCGGTTCTTAGTAAAAGATAGCATTGAAGCAGCATTACATGCATCACATTCTCGAAACACAAACGTTGGTCCTTATAATCTTGACACAGAATGTATGATTGGCGCTAGTATACGACGAACAAGCTCCACTAGTTTAGGAGTAGCTGGACCCAGTGAAGATAGAGCTCAATTGATGAGTATGACAATTAAACAGCTTACAGAACTGTTACACTTTGAGTGCAATGCTGGTATGCTCACCGATGAGTTGAAACTACCGTCGTTTTCTTTACTTTAATATTCCTATCTAAACATTTGTTTTGTCATAGTGTTGAAATAAATGTGCTTATTTCGAATTCTTAATCATCTCTGACACCTTTGCTCATTCTCTTGTTTTATTTAATTTCAAATCATATATTTTACTAATTATATGACTTGTATTGTAATACTTCGCATTTGAATTTGTTCATTAGATGTTTATTTATCATGTTTTATATTTTTGTATTAGCAATTATATTCTGTAATATAACCACTAATTTCAGCGATTCTTCTTATATTCTAGACGTAACAAACTTTTAGTTCTAGAAGTTTTAAAAAGTAATTAGGTGGACGTATCAACAAATGCAGTTTTAATGCAACTGAAGGTTCCGTCGATAGACTAAAGTATGAACTTCCTGTTTTAGTCACGTGCTAATATATATTATTTGGTGCCGCTATACTCGCTTACGGAGATTCACTGATAAATTATCGAATAAACCTATTGTTAATGTAACGAGATGCAATTCTTTTACTTTTGTTTGTCAGTCATCAGCTATTTAGGACCTGGTATAAGGGTGTATCAGTGCAAGATCCCACACCTCATATCGAGAGTAAAAATTGAAAACATGAGAAAAACGGGGAATAGCAAGCAATATTAATTTTATTAGAAAGCTGCATTAAGATTTGTATTGCTTGCTGCACCCCGAACTTAGCTGCTAATTTAACGTAGTGGTCGGCCTCGCCTATCGTGATGACTCAATCGAGATACATTAGCTAGATTGCATGTTCCTTTAGATCCTGTCATGCCAAAAAGGTCGGTTGGAGAAGCGTTATTGTGACTGGCTTGCACATGGACCACAGATTTATCAACATTTTTTAGTAGACCTTTCGTAGATTGTGGGTAATTAGCTTCTGTATAGTATGTAACATCGACGGACTAAACGTTCCTTAATTGGACGAAGATTCTTTTTGTTTAAGCAATTTCATCATTATTTCTTTTGCGTATAGTCTGGCGATTCTTCAGTGCAAGACTTTATCTACTCTCCTCATCGGGTCTTTGAATTTTACAGCAGTAATAGGAATGACGTTTGTTTTCAAGTTCTCGACATTTTTAGCTTGTGCATGAGAATGAAAGGACTTTGCAGTCGTACTTAATCTTTCGAACTTCGATTCTGTAGTTAACAAATCATCAAGCATTTCATTAGAATAATCTTCAGTGGTCAGGAAGAAAATCTGTCCTTGAGACATCCTTAGATTTTCTAAACCCAGGATAGATGGTCCACAATCAGTGATGAGGAATTCACAATTTAGGATTGAAGATTTGTCGTCCTAATCAGCAAATACAGCACTCGAGAATAGGAATTTTATAACAAATAATACTCGAAATATAACCTTTCGTAGGGATAATTATAGCATCGGGATTTAATGACTTCACCTTCCCACCTGGAATGACGGATTTGAAACTTCCAGTGTGGACAATGAAATCGTGAAAAGCACCATTGGACAGGTGTAGTCGTTTCTGAATATGAGGTGAATTATTGTGAAACTTCTATCTCTCTACATTCAAAGCCAGCACACTGAACATGATTAAGTCGTAACTCCTTGAATGGCAATCTTATCGGTTTCTCTGGAAAAGCCGGATTCTCTAGCAAGTTATAGGCTTCTTTGCTGATGAACGTCAAAAATAAGCTGTGAATTTATCATATTTAATGTATTTTCTAGTCAAGCGGCAGACTACGAACCACTCCACATAATCATCCCATTTGAATTAATATCCAACTGTCCAATATTTGGCTCCATCGCAACACCAATATGATAATTAGAACTGTTCGAATTAATGTGCTCACTAGGGATTCTCTAGATACTGCAATTTGAGGCAGACAGAACTAGATGAGCAAAAATGAACGTATTATATTTGGAATAAGCAATCAAGCACAAAGGAATTATTAGCTCGTACATATACCACACTTTGTCATAGGCACGCTAGTAGAGATAAGACTTATCATCTGATTTTCCAGAGGTTGATCTTCTACAAGGAGATTCACTTGCTGACTTGGAATACGCAGATGATATAGTTCTGTTTGTTAAAGACACTGAAAAAATAGTCTCTTGATCATCTTAAGCAACAATGCAAGTATGTTTGGGATGTGTTTCTCTGCCTCTAAATGCAAAATTTTACCTCAGGATTGACTTGCATAGGCGTCTAAACTAATTATAGGAATTGAGATTGTTGAACGTACCGACCGATTCACTTACCTTGGGAGTCTCACTAGACCTGATGTCTGACGAAATCTCGGAATGATTGATTGGCTTTCGCCAACTTGTGTCATTTGTCGCGTATGCAAGATATCCATCTACCAACCAAAGGATGAGTTTACTGCACAGCAGTTCGGTCTGTTCTACTTTATAAGTGTGAAACATGGCCATTAACAATAGATGATACTCATAGGTTACCATTATTCGATCATAAGTCTCTTCGAAGCACTGCTCGTGTATTTCGAAACCACGGAGTAAGTAATGTGGGTCAGGAATATGGCACAAAGTAAGGATGAAAAATCGATTGATGAGGTAGTAAATCTTCACCAACTGAGGTAGTTGGGACATGTGTTACGTATGCCTAACCACCGCCTACCTCAACGACTGTTGTCTGGTGTGGAAGCTAGGGGCGGCCTAACTAAAACATGGCATCGGTCCAAGAAGTCACTGACAATTGGATGTTGTTAAGTGTAGACCGCCTGGCTGGGGTTCACGAGATTATCATGTCTAATGTTTAGAGACTTAAACCATTTGCAGTGACACAAGCGCATCCACTTTTTGCCTACCCCCAAATTCTAAGTTTCTGAATTCCTCACGCGTTTTCGTTTCTATTTTACTGATTTATATTTTCTTGAATTATCTTCGATGCCCAATCTTTACTATTACCACCTTTATGATATTTGGATTTACCCTGACAATTTTATTTCTCTGTGTTAATGGGGCATGATAACTTGAATCAATTTACATAACTACCGGGTTCTACGTTGCGACTGACTGATTTGAGAGATATTGTTATGTATATCTTAGCAAAATATTACTCCACTTACACGAGATTAGACAAAATACACACAAATGTAACCAACTAATTTGTGCGTAACCCAAATGTATCATGAAGTTTAAAGATATAAGTGAACATGTATTTTGCTTCATTTTACTACTAAAACAGTGGCCAACCAAAAGAAATTCAACGATTTGGAATTCCTATCCACAGCTATTAAGAAGATAAAATAGGAAATTATGAAGCTTTCTGAGATAACTTGTGTCTATATTTGATGTGTGGACTAATAGACTTTGAATGACCAGATCATATTCACACTGCTTAGACATTTCAATAGCTTTTATGTCCTCAGACGAATACACGTAAAAGGTACATATTGAACTATACTTTTATTGTTGATTCGCACCATTCAACTCCGTGCAACCCAGCCCCATATATTATCATCGATTTGAATAAACGTTTTCCTCTCAAGACATGTTCTAACCCTTATCTTTAAACTAAATAATTGTTGCTCGATCTCTTACTACGGATAGTTAACTAATGAATTAATTACTCAGCTTTAAAAATGCACTAGCTGCTTATGTAATATAATTCTTTTTTTTTGCGGTTTGGTAGTTTAAATGTACAGTCACATCAAACCTTTCTATCTTTTGGAACTAATTAAAAAAATTAATACATCAAATTTATCAACTGAACAAGTTAATGTATGCGATTTAATCGTATCGTAGGACCCAAAGCTTCTTTTTGTATATACAAAGAAATCTGCACTTTAGATTAGTTTTGTAGTCTAGAGATATACAAATGATTGTTATATAACCTTAGTAATTGAATTATGAGCTCTTGGATATAATTATTATAGATTTAATAACTATTTAATAGGCTACCAATAAGGAACTGCATAATGAATACTAATAATTGTTTAGATAAAAGCACTTCACAATGAATTCAGGTAATGAGATATTTTTAAGTAAAGCAGCATCCTTTGTAATGTCTACATTGCAAATACGCTAAATTTATTTACCTTAAAACAACCGTATTCATTATTAATAATTCATGAATATTTCTTAATCCCCTTACCCATTACTAATAGATCAGATTTTTCTGCCCTGGTTTATTTTATACTATTGCTATTATCAGTCAGCTACAACGTAGGAGTAGGCACATAGGTTTAAGTTGCCATACCTCATTAGCATAACAAGATGAACACCGGATTCATAGAAGTAGTTAATTCAGAGGTGGTAATATATAAGAGAAAGACTGCATATAAGAATATAGTAAAAGAAGAAAGAATTAGTTCGTAGAAAGAAAGATATGAAGTGATTTTTATCTCTTAGTTTAAGGGAAGACAAATAGTGTATACACTGACTCCATTGTGATCGATTCTGAGCCATGTCACCAAGAGTCTCCAACCATTGGTTACGATAGTCGTGTGGACCCCAACCAAGTAGTCTGTATCTACCAACATGGCCCAGACCAAAAGTTAATGACTTCAAGGACTGATGCCACGTTTTGGTTTGACCGCCCCTAACTTTCTTCCAACAGTCCCCAACGCTAGTCAGCATTGCTATTCCATTTATCAGTCACACTTTCCTAATTAAAAATAAATACATTTTTTTAAAGAGTATACTTCAAATCAATCACATTATTTAACTTAGATAATATTAATCAAATATAATAATTCCCAGACAATCAGTATTTATTTTTGATTACTTAAAATGTAGTCACATTTCTCGTATACCATTATTCTAACAAGATAATATCACTGTGTTTACGATCTAACGTAGATGTACACAGAAATACTTTTTTTCTTCTCTACATTATTTTAGAGGTAAACTATAATTTTAAATAAAAGAAACACATTTAACATATTAGGAAGTGGTAACACCGTTAATTCTTATTCATGAATACCAAATAAAAATATAATTTATAAAGACCAAATAAATATGTAGTGATACAATGAAGAAGAAAAAAAAGAAATAATCTTCCAAGAACAAGTGTAATGAAAAAGACTAACAATCACTACACTTATAATGAATATTAAATAAACGATAAGAAATTAAAGGTTGTAACCCATGAAAATGATGCTTTAATTATTAAGAATATACTGTCAAACAGAATTATCTAATAAAAACAAATATATTTCAGTAGGTATACATACAAATGTTTCCAGAATTTGAACCAAAAAAATATTACAGTACAAATAACATGTACATAGATGCAAAATACATTATATATATTACACGATCAAACAATTACAGATTAATTAGATATTCTGTTGTTTTATTTAGTCTTGGTAATATTATCGGCCTTTCTTACGACCTTTCTTTTGTTGCTGTTTAGCTGTATTAGACATTTGTTTAGGAGTAGATCCTGCTGAACCGTCTTCATGAACTTTGACTTTAGGACTACGTATAGCAGCATCCCTAAAATGAAATTTTTTTCTAAATTTAAATTTATGTATAGATGAATCTACAATTGAATAGTTTATGATAAAATTATTATGTATCCGGTTATTCTATATGCATTTATAAATAATTCTATATTCAAAACTCCTAAGGTGAATAAAAACAATACACATGGTTTGTTGTTTAAGTAAACGAATCCTACTAAAATCAACAAATAAATAAACACGAGTCGCATTTAATGAGAGTTATGGTTTACTTAGCAACATAGTCGAGAAAGACTTATCTTAGCCCAATAAGTTGATTTCACTTTTGTAGTGTGAAAGAAAATCAGGATTGAATTACTACGGACTTCCATTTTGAGCCATATCTAATAACATCTTAAACTATTGAGTTCCAAATTCTCTAAAGACCGACAAATCACAGTCTTATCTCCTTGCCACAGCGCCATTTCACAAATTGACCATCACATCGCTTTTTCCACTAACTGTCAGAGTCAACAAATGATGTTCGATGTAGAAGTCAGTGAAATGGAACTCGTAGAACACGAACCAGTTACTGAAGTTGATGTTCCACGACGATGACACCATTTGAATTATCACCCATGTCCAAAATATCCATTGTCAGGTATTACATGACTAAGACTATGTTGCCACTGGATATCATCAATAATGCAACATAGAGACACTGCACATCAGCTTTGAGAGGTCAGGTTACATGGAAAAAGAGCAGAACTACTATAACTGACACGTAAACCGAACCTTTTACGGTTAATATAACGTAAAGATGTCTCCAAAATTGACCCAGATGGGGATAAGCTACTTTGGCTTCCACTATACGTAGATTGACACTGTGTGCTAAACAAACACCAGCGATTCACCCCAGGGTTGAGGGACAGGCTCCTCCTAGCCTAGTAATAGTATTCAATGTTTCGCAGGAACATCACTGATTAAAATCTTAGTAAATAACTTGTGGGACGTTTTCACCAACAAGAGTAACTTCTGTCGTCTTCATACTACCCAAGATAGTAGCTAGATAACGTTTCTCAATCTGAATTAATTGTCAGTATAGGGTTGTGGAAATTGTTGTCTCACTGAGATCATGAACAGATCAATGTTAGACCACCGTTGAAAACTTGGAATCACTGGACAGCCGTTTAGTCCTAGTATATTACTCAGCAATGAGCATCACCCCCCGCACGCAGAAACCGAAACCAGGACTTCGATCTCGAGCGCGAAGGCTTAACATTCAAATCTCTGGGCCGGCATTTAACAATTATTGTGCTCATAAATGTATACACTAAAATGGTCAATTCCAAGATATCAGAAGATTTGACTGTTTTGGTAGAATTCGTTGTCAACATGGTTACGTACACACATGAATTAGTACCAATATTTTAATAGTTAAAAATAGCGCGTTAATGAGTGAGAAGTAACGAGCGCAAAAACTAAATAAACAGACTAAATATGACGGAAACAGCACCTACCATTCACTTTCTCCAGTTATTTGACCCTGAGGACCGCGTGTAGGAGCAAATCGCTTGTCACGACGTTTGCCACGATAGTGAGTACGTTCTCGTCGGGGTAACCAACGATTAGGATCAGGCATAACTCCTGGCTGATAATTCTTTGGCAGGCGAATCTTCTTCTTTTTACGCTTAGAACGCGAAGTAACCTGCTGCACACCAGGATCTGAGGAAGGAGTACTGATAAATAAAATTTAAAAAAAATAGAATTACAGTAGTACACAATTAATATACATAACAGCAAAGAATACAATGTTTGGTGACTTTAAAAATTTCTGATCAACCATTCAAAACTTCATGACCTTAATCTTCAGTATATCGAAGTTGTTCAAAATATTCAATCTCAGTTTACTGTAAAATAAGGTTGAGCAATAAATTAAGTACTAGGTCAATAAAGAATGTCTACTCAGTTTTTCTACTGACAAGTTATATATTTCTAGTATCAGTCACTTTTGAACTAACTAATAGAGCATTGACTGGATTAATTATTCAACAGATTTGGCTCATTTCAGCAACCCACGAAAAATTTATCCATATAAAATATAACTCAAGGACTTGTATAACAGCTTACACAACACTGATAAGTTGCTAATTTATTAGCTTTTGAGTACTACACTGTATATCTTGGAGCTTATTTTCAATATTAATGTTTGATGTAAATTTACGGGGCAATTCGATTTTTTCCCACGTACAATTCTGTTTCATTTCTGAATGTAATCCGTATTTCAACGTGTTAATAATACTAAAAGACAGTAATATAGATGAAAAAAGTTGAAACATAACCGTCCTAAATGTTGAGTGTGATAATAAACAACTGGTCCTGAAACTGAAATGAGGATTGTAATTAGGAAGCAAACTTTACAATAAAACTCTGTGGATGAGGAAATAAGAAACAAATAGCAAAGTTGCAAAATAGTAGAGAAATTTAGAACTTCACAGCAATTCATTTTTCCATTGGATTAGGCATCGATATATAATTACTGGTGAAATACAAAAAATATCTTACATTTTTTCAACTTGGTAATTAGATAGGTTTTTACATTTTAATTTCCTTTCAACGAGGATCACAGACGGTCTCTCTGAACGACTTCTTTATCAGCTCAAGAGAAGACTCGATAAAATAATTTGAGACAGTTATTTCTTTTCAATTTGCTTGTTAGCTCCAAAATGTACCAATGACCGATTCTCACGAGCTGACTGTTTATCCTTTGATTGAATTTATTGTTTGGAAGAAATTTCAAGGTAACAACACTAAGAATATTTTATGAAGATTGTCTAAAATTCACAATTGCTTACAAGTAAAAATTCTCAAGAATAACTCTGGTACACTACACTACCCAATATTGGTTATGCGTCAATTAGCATTAATTGGTTATAAAGCAATCAATTGCCTTGAGTATGCCAAGATTTTGGATAATTAAGTTTTTAAATGAATATATAAGTTCAAACACTTACTTAGAAATGTTTTTTTTAATTTGGTTTCGTTTTGACTTGCCCTTGTCTGAAATATCCGTTGGCTCACTGGGTTTGCCAAGCCGTTTTAAGGACTTTGCTCCATATAAAAATGTAGTTTCCAAAGTATCTACATCAGCCTCTGAGAGGGATTCTTTAGCTTGTAATGATTTACAGGTTTGTTCGGCTTTAGGACGATCAAACTGTGCGTAGGCACGTACCAAACGAGCTACCAGTACTTGTTTGATTAAACTATTTTGTTTTTCTTGAGAAACGTTTGATTCAAGTCGGGCTAACTGTTTTTCAAGAATTTCAGCCGCAAGTTTTGCCTCACCTTGTTGCAGAAGAAATCCAGCACAATTATCCAACAAATGGGAATAAATTTCATTCTGAAGACATCCATCCAGAAAACCATAGTTTAAGTCGCATAAAAGTATCCATCAAAGAAGTCCAACAAATGGAAAATTTAATACAAGTTAAAATTAAACTCAAATGTTAGTCTTACTGATGATAACAAAAATAAATAGTTCAGTTGCAATGACGCTTTACGATATTTGACAAAGTACTCAAAAAGGGGGGGAATGTTGGGTAATAATTAGAGATTCTGCATTACATATTCATTCAGAGTTGTAACGATATTTATATGAAGTTTAAGTCCTGAGAATAGAAACCAATAGTTTAAATAATATCAGTCAAATCCATTTTTTTCACCTATGATAATAAAACTTCTCGAGCTGCATTTAGACTGTCATGAACTCAATAAATGATGTACAAAATCATATGAGATACAACAATCAAATCATAAAAGACGAAGAATGACAAACCACGAATACATTTAATAATAAACTTTCTAATATTCAAGTTTCACCAATTTTTGTTTTTCACATGAATACCAAGAGTAGAAGACACAAGTATCAAAGTTCGGACTGGAAAACATCAACAAGTTGATTCGGAAATTATCTTCAATACATTATATATAGGGAAGAGAATTACCTGTTCTCCTAACTCTTCATAATAATGAAGGGTTGATTCAATACAATTGACTATTTGTTTCATGCTATCGGGACGTGTTTGTACAGCATTTTCACCAGAGCTCGCTAAAAGATATAAAGCGATCCGTGTTGACAAAACACCGGGAGAATGAATTAAGTGCTGGGGAAGAATGTTTTCAAGCATTTGGGCTACATTTAATGCATTTTTAGGTTGCGGACTACCAGTTCCCAAATGATTTGCAGATATTCGGCGAAGATTTATTTGAGCCAAAGCTAAAGGGATTTCTGCATCTACCTGATTACCAGTAACATTAGACAAGTAACTCTAAAGGTAAAGCGACAGGAATTAGGTGAAAACATGTTAGAAATCAGTATTAGCACAGATGATGTCTAGTTTGATGTTAATTTTTAAATTAAAGAACTTATTGTGTCTAGGTTACTAAGAATAGATGCTAAATAATTTTATTGCCCAGAAATCTTTCTTTACCCTAAAATTTGACCAGAAATCGATCAAAATATTTTTTTGAAACAGCTCATTTGAAATCTTAAAACACGTACGGAAACCCATAGAGATCTGTAAAATAGCACTCCCACTGACTGACAACCACATCAACACCAAATAACTCGGCAACTATGCTTCTCATTGTATCATCATTAGTAGTTACATCGAATACACATATTCAGTAGATCAATCAAATTGATAGTTTTCACTCTTCACTCAGTAATTCGACCCCTAGACTAAGACAAATAATGCAATGGCATTATTCGCAGTAGGCCTCAGGGAATTAGTCTTTGAACTGTCGTTTATTTTTTGAGATTGTACGCCTCCTCTTTTCTCAATATCGCTTTCTTCTTTGAGTGGAGTATATTTATTTTGTAATGCCGATTTGTATCAGTATTCATGTATTTTTTTTAATAAGTGTACATTGGCACATGTTCTTACAGATACTTAAGTGAAAGCTAATCTTTGTGTTTGCCACTACACTTTAACAAAATAATAATAATTCACAGCAAAAACCACCAGAAGTACCTCGTTTATGTGCTAATTTCCACAGTACTCCAATAATATGTGAAGCCTAAAAAATATATGTCATAATTAAACTTGAAATGGGGATCTGGATATCAAAGATTTCAAACTTTATCTGTTTGATTGGAATTGAATAGTGAACCGAAATCGATTTCATCATTTGCTTTCATCAGACAACTGTAGTTTATCCTTATTCAGTGTAGACCTGAAAGTACTGATGACAACGTAATATAAGTAACATGTGATTAAAGGAAAACTAAGATATGCCAAGTAATGGAATGTTTCAGGACCACTCATTTATCCAATCAACTAGAACCCAAAAATGTTAATGTAACAGACTAAAGTTCGATTTCTATTTAAGTCGTTACGTACAAAAAAAATATTTCCTATAGACGGTCAGTATAAATTCGCTTTAGTTACGATTTTCATTACACTATACATGAAGTAAGTATTTGATGCGTTTGTAGTTAAATCATTTATTTCCAAAACATCCAGAAACATTTACTGTGAAAAAAGGTTTGCCAAAAATCGATAAAAAGCAACAGGATACTAATGAAATGGTGGGTGGAACTTTAGATTTATGGAACGAAACAAGAAATCTTTACGAAGAGTAACATGGCATTCATACAACGACTTACTTCCAAGAGTAAAACTGCTTTATCAATATTTTTCTCTTTAATTAACTGAGCAGCCGATAAAAGCAAAGCTCGTGGACTTAACTCCTCTTGTAAAACTGTACGTAGCTTTGCGGTACAAGCTTCCATCTGTATAAAAATTCAATAAATGATTTCGGAAGTTTGCTTTATGAAATTACATAAAAGACTAGATTTTTAAAATACGTTAACACTGAAAGAATAAGTGCTTCATGCATAATGTGTGTAAATTAATACACCAAAAATAGTGAGATCTAAAGTGAGTATTGTTAGACGAAACACAATTTTTGAAGAGAATTAAGAGCTAATATTCTTCGAACATAACAAGTTTAAGTAAAATAATCCTTAAGCTAGTGAAATCAATAAGCCCCACAGCTCAAAACAAATCTTAAACATGAAGATATCTGTCAGTCTGTGGTCAAATAATAATAGCTTACGAATATCCTCTACTCCTAATGGCCACGTTTCGCAGCCGTAAAGTAGATCAGAAAGAACTACCGCGCAATATACTCGTCCTTTTATTGATAGACGGATATCTCGCCTTCGCCATAGGTGACATAAGTTGGCAAAAGCCAAATGAGCTTTTCGAATCCGTGCTGAGATTTCGTCAAACACCAACCCATTAGGGCTGATCAGACTCCCAAGATAAGTGAAGTTGTCAACCCGTTCGACTACTTCACTCCCTACTATCCTTAGTTCAGGTGTTGACGTAGACCAGTCCTGAAGCAACAACTTGCATTTAGAGGGAGAGAAGCGCATTCCAAACATTCTGGCATTGTTGCTCAGTACTACTAAAACACTCTGCATTTTATCAGAGTCTTCACCAAACAGGATCATATCATCTGCGTATTTTACGTCGATAGGTAGACCTCCTGGAAGGAGGTCAGTGCTCGAAAGTTCAGTCGATGAGAACGTTGTTTCCATCAGTATATCCATGATGAATTTGAACAAAAATGGAGATAGTGGACAGCCTAGACTGACATCATTTGAGGTTGTAAAATCAGATGACAGTTCGCCATAAGCTCTGACTCGACTAGTAGTGTTCGAGTAAAGAGCCTTCACAAGGTTTATGTACTTCTGAGGTACGCTTTTCGATGACAGACACTGGCACAAAACCTCTCGGTCTACAGAGTTGAATGCTGCTTTCAAGTCAAGAAAGACCACCATTGTCGGACGCCGATACGCATGCCTGTGTTCTAGAACCTGACGAATGGTGAATATGTGGTCGACGCAGCCACGACCAGGTCTGAAGCCAGATTGATTTCCTCGTGTTTGCAGTCCACGTGTCTTAGGCGATCGATAATTATTGAGGCTAGTGTTTTAGATGTTATATTAGTCAAACTAATCCCTCTATGGTTGTCACAGGATGATTTTGACCCTTTCTTATATATTGAAACAATTAGTGATTGTGATCAGTTAGATGGGATTACGTCCAACTCCCAGATTTTAGCTAAAAAATTAGTCAACCTAATCGCTAAAACAAGACCATCATACTTAAAGATATCTAGAGCCAAACCATCTGGACAGTTGCTCTTCGTCAATTCAGATTAGCTATAGCTTTTCTAACTTCAATTAGAGTCGGGGGACCTACTTCAATGTCCTGTTCAGGCTGTTTTGGAATGGTGAGTAGTTGTAGAGTAGCTGAATGCCAGATGAACTGCTCCTCAAAGTGTTCCACCCATCGTTCTAAACGTCTGGGCTAAAGTTGTTGTAGTCTTTTTCCGAGATTGTCTCACATTTGACTTCTTAATTCTAGTTTCTTTTATTAGTCTGTAGAGCTATCTTGTGTTCCCTATAGCCGCCGCCTTTTCCATTTCTTTTGCTTTCGTTGCCCATCACTGCTCACGGTCGTTTCTTAGACTTTTGCTTAACCTGGATCTGATTTGTTTTCGCTCTTCATCGTGTTCAGAGCCTGATGGGATGAGCTTGCGAGAATCTATCAGTGCAATATACATTGAAGAAATCCATTGATTTTTTGTAACCTCTTGGCTTAAATCACTAACAGATGTCACTGCTGTTTCCACAGCTGTTCGTATATCTTTCCAAGCAAATCTGGGACAGCCTCGTTTTCAGAACTACATAAGTGTGACCCCAGTAGTTCCTGGAATCCGTTTATGGCTTCCTCGTCACTAAGTTCGACTCTAATAGGTCTTCTTAATGTGGTCTTTATGCGTCCAGGGAGGCACAGGCATACGCGTGCACGTAACAGAACATCATCGGAATCCAAACAGGTATTCCAGAACGAACGACAGTCTTCCATCGAACCTCTCCAACGATAAGTGATGGCAATATGATATATTTGAGTCCATCGTTGGTTTGGTGAAGGCGGTCGCCATGTTAGACGATGTTTCTACTTATGCTTAAAACAATAAACGATTGTCTGAGTATAAATGCAGCAGACGATCACCATTATCTGTTCGTTGGCCGGAACACAAAAATACCCACCTAAATGTTCTTCTCTCGACCGTAACTGATACCTTGACGTGGTAATCGGGCTTGCCTATCGTGATGATAGCAACCGATGGTTAGAGACCTCGAATGACATGGCTCAAAATTGTCTGCAATGGCGCAAGTGCATCCACTCTTTGTGTTCTCCCAAATCCTAATCTTCTGAATTCTTCATGTCCCTTTTTTCTCTTTCCAAACTTATTTCACTGGATTATACTCCTTGAATAACATCTTCAAACCCTAATCTTTCCGATTACTGCTTATACTCTTACTACCTCTACCACTATGAGATTTGAATCAACAACTGCATCTCTGTGCTAACGTCGTATGGCAACTCGAACTGATGTACGTACGTACGAAGTTCTACTTTGTTACTGACTGACTGATTGAAATGTCCTTCTGCTCGGTTTAAGCTACCTATCTGAGTGTTTAACTTTATGAAGAAGTTCCGAAAGCTTTCTGTACAAGTCATCTTTCACTTCATCCAGTTTGCAGTCCATGGGAGCGTAGGCAGAAACAACAAAAAGGCAACGACGTGTGTCCCTATCCTTCCGAGTTGTTACAGAGCCGTTTAGCCGAACAGTACATAGGCGGCTGTTAACCGGGATCCATTCTAATAGTGCTTGTTTTACCCCCGAACTTAGTGCTATACCTACACCTGCCAGTCCACGAGGACCAGTCATTGGGTCGTCAGATACACGGAGGGTGTATCTAGTCGGCTCTCCGTTTTGCCGAGGTGAGGTCAAGTGAATCCTGTATGCGTGTTTTATAGACACAGCATACATCAATCGTACGAGATTCTACGGTTTTAGCCAAGGAGGCCTGCTGGTCGATTTGACATAGGGTGCGCAGGTTGAAGACTCCAATGTGTAGTTTGGAGCGAGGTTTCAGTAGACCTGGGACAGTGTTTTGCGCACTAGTATCGTTAGCCATGGTGACACTTAAGGAGGAAGTCAAAAGAGCAAGTTGAGAGTTGAAAGTCGACATAGGAGGAATGATACGAATTGAAGAGGGAGTTAGGTGGTTAAACATTCAACAATGAAACGACGGGGTTTTTGTCCGAACCCTACTGCAAATACTTCGGTTTAGGTCCCAAGGTACTACCACTAGCCTTAATATGAAGTTTTGCTTAAACTCCAGTATATGATTATGCATCTGGTGTCTGAGTTATAGAATTTAAATTAGCCCAAATAACTTGCCTATTATTTATTTATTTGAACATATAAATATTGGCACGAAGGGGCACCAGATACATATGCGCTATACAAGTCGCCTGATTTGTGTGGAGGCTGTAATACTACCCGGGTACACAGATCGAAGCAGGTGGTTTTCTTATGGGGCCACACCCGGAGCCTTTGACCTAAAGGTGTGATCCACAAAGCAGTGGGAGAAACGTCAGGAGATTCAGTCCCATGGTAGCCGGTGACCAACAATAGGCTCATATGCCATTTGTTCCCCAGGATCCAAGAGCCCATGTACACCATTGATTTGGAATCAGAGTTTTCTAACTCACCTAGGTGGATCCTCCATATCCACCAACCTAGTTATTTTCCACCCTCTCGATTTCGTAAACAACACCCCCACCACAAGAAATCAGTGAGTAGGACTTCCCTGACAGTAGCTGTATACGCGTGGCCATGTGAGAGCATTTCGAGAGGGAGAACGGACTCTACCCACCCTTATTGTTACCAGGGTATATGGGGGG